GTCAGCCACTGTCCCGTGTGCCCGGTTCGGCTCTGTGGCTCCGGCTCACTGCGTTGAACCCTTTAAAATAAAAGCAACCCTCCAAACGCGGTTTGGGCTCGCTGTAGGGCCGGTCACGGCCTCCTCCGTGTCATTCCCATACATAAACAGCGATTGGGGGAAATGTAAGTCAAGTATGTAGTGGAGAGCAAGTAGTGCGGATTTGCTTGACAAGACACATAAACTTTAAGGAGATCTCTGTGCTGCTAGTTCTGCGTTTCCCTGGCTTTGCATCTGTGCAATTACCGAACACATTTTAGCCCAGAACTAGCTTTAATTTTTGGTGGGGCCAGTAGTGTCCGTGCCCATGGCAGGAGGTTGGGAATAGATGATGTATAAAGTCCATTCCCACCCCTGAGATTCTGATTCTGCCTTGAAAAGACTGCTGCTTAGCTTTTTCCTCAGAAATAGACCTAAGGACGTGACCAATTAGAGATTCTTCTATTTCTTTTTGTAATTGCTGTCAACTGATTTAAAGGCACATAAAGCTACTTGTGAGACTCTTGTGGTTACAACGGCTGGCAGCTAAGCACCACACAGCCCTCTGCAGGGTGGGGGGAAGCGAGTTGGAAGGGTAAAAGCAAGAAAACTTGTGGGTTGAGATACGAACATTTTAATAATTGAAATAATAATAAGTAGTGATGAAAGCAAAAAGAACAAAGAGAAATAGAACCCAAGAAAAACAAGCAAAGCAAATGAAAACAGTTGGTCACCACCACCTGATTGATGCCCAGCCAGTACCCAGGCAGTGACTCCTGCAGCCAACTTTTCCTCCTAGTTCCCATTGCTGAGCATGACACCATGTGGTGTGGAATATCCCTTTGGTCAGCTGGGGTCATCTGTCCTGACAGCATTCCCTCCCAACTGCTTGTGCATCCCCAGCCTGCTCACTGGTGGTGTGGGGTGAGAGGCAGGAGAGGCCTTGGCTCTGTGTAAGCACTGCTCAGGGACAATGAAAACATCTCTGTGTTATCAACACTGTCTCCAGCACAAATCCAAACCACAGCCCCTTACCGGCTACTGTGAAGAAAACTAACACTATCCTAGCACAAAGCAGCACAAAGGCCTTGCATTTGATTTATAAAATAGAAGCTATTTCATCACTTGCTGTCAATACTAAGATCTCGATCCTCTCCCTTTTAGATCCTTTGCATATTTTACAATTAAAGACAGACTGCCCCAGATCCTCACAAGGGTTATCGACACTCTGCATCGACATAAAAATGAATTTTTTGAAGAACATGGTGAGGTAAGAGTAAGGTCTTGTCTCTTTCCTGATGTTTTTCCCCCCCTAAGCCTTGAGACCCCTTCTCTGCGTTGTTTTTTCCTGGCTTCTTACTACAGTTATTACTTGTCTGTCTCAATTTTTGTCTGTTTGGCTTGTTTTAATCTCTTTCTCATAGCTACTTTTGATTAATTTTGTAACCCACCTTTCTGCCCAACCTGTTTGTGATCTGTCACTTCTGCAAGGGCTTCACATTCTCTCGTCTTCGTGTTGATAGACTGTAACACTTTCTAAATGTGGCAGTTTCCATTCTCTCATCCCCTCTACTAAGCAAAAAGTCCAATCTAAGAAGAAGTTCCACATGCAGTTCATGTTGGGATGTTGGGTCTAAAATGGGCTTTATTCACTGAAATATGTTTTGTTGAATCGAGCTCTGATTGTCAGGAACTTGTGTTTGGCAATTAAAACTTACCATTTACATCTTTCATGCGGAGTTGATCTGTGTCTCTACAGGAATAAATGTTCAGAATAGGAACTTTTGTTCTCCGCTTATTTCAGAAGGGTGTTGAAGCAGAGAAGAGAGCTATATCTTTCCTCTCCAAACTGCGGAATGAACTGCAGACAGACAAACCAGTGACCCCTTTGGAAGATGAGCTGCCTGATGCCACACTGTGGAACCAGTACCTGGACCACCAACGAAATCTATCAAATGGAAATGGAGAACCAAGCTGGTTTCAGTCCCCTTGGTTGTATGTAGAGTGTTATATGTATCGAAGAATTCATGCAGCATTAGCACAGAAGTAAGTATTTACTAGCTTGGTATATTACTTTGCAAAACATTGCTCTTTCCCATTTTTATTCTAGGAGAAAGGAAGACAGCTGATAAGTGAGATAAAGGAAGATTTTAAGCTTTTAACTTACTCCTTTTCCCTCTTCTCACACCTCAGATTGAAAATTAATACATTTTCTTCTTGCATACAACAGAATTTGGAGCTTATTACTTTTTTTATGCTTCAGTTTTGGTGAGTTAATGTACATAAAAACTCTTAAGCCTGATTCTATAGCTTGACCTTGCAGACTAGTGTGAATTGAGATATGGAAATCATGTAGCCTTTCTAAAAGGTTTGTTAGTCTAGAATCATCTCTTAACACGTTAGCCTAAAACACAAAATGCAAAAACCATTAACCTGTTGGGCATTCCAACTTGTTTTGCTGCTCGAAACCTGAAGTTACCACTTGAGAACTGTTTCTTACAGGAGTAGCCTCAGCTGAAGCAGCCTCTGTTGTTCATTCTACACCACCTTCTTAGTTACACCAGTGCTTGCAGAACATGTGTTGCATCAAACTCTGGGAGCTGATCCTGGTTAAAAATAACAGGGCAGGAAAAACTTCTTGTGCTGGTACCGTGGAGAGGTGCCAGTACAGTGTCATGGGGTAGGAATGAACCGTTTAAGTTCTCGCTGCTGCCAAAAAAATTTGAAAGCTCCGTGAGTACAAGATTTACCCTTAGTGCTGCAGAGATGCAAACAGAGAAATGGGACTGAGTTTCTGCTGGTGTTTGTGTAATTTAAGCTCTTGTACCAAGAACTTCAAACATGAAATGGATCTCATGGATTGCACTTGGAAAGCTGAGCAGATACTTTTCATTAGTAAGCTTTCAGGTTCTTAATCTTCATTATTTAGCTGCTGTTAATCACATGCTTGGATGGAAGTTTAATGGTTTGTCAAAAGGTGTTTGGCAAATACGTCTTATAATAGATGAGCCTATATTTCTTATCTATTGCAAGAACTGAATTGTTTTGTCATCTTTTTCAGGCTAATTTTCCAAAGTCCCAGTAAAGGCTTTCATAGGAGTAACTTTCTGTCACTGTAAGAGAATTTGGTATGGGAACTACACTTCAGCACACACAAACATGATTAAAATTGGGCCAACAGTGCTCCACAGGAGTTCACTTGTATGTTACAGCTTATATCTCTGTGTCTGAAGATTGGAGTTCAAAGTGGTCACTGTATGTGCAGTCCCCAGAACTGTTGGGACTGAAGACACTTGTTTACTTTCAGAATATATTGCTAGAAATACAGACATGTCTTGTATACTGCCAGCTTGAGGGAGATGCAGTATCAGGCTGTTACTGAGATGTGTGAAAATCTTCTATGACAAATTAGAAGTGGAAATTATAACTAAGGCCCATAGTACACTCTAAAAAAGTTGAACTTCGAGCTTGCATTTTCATGTGCTGTCATGGGGAATGTGGCAAGTATGTTAATGTATCTGTTCTTCTCTTTTTAGCCCACCTATTGACAACTTCGATGTATTTAAGGAAGGAAAGGCTCAAAATTTCTTTGAATCCCAAGAGGCTGTTATTGCCTTATGCACTTACTTCCAGGAACTTCTTAAGAACATCAAGGATCTAGATGAAAAACAACTTAAGGAAGAACTTTTCAAGCTATTGCAGGTAAACTAGTAATGCCTAACATGAGAATATAAGATACGTCTTCTATGAAACAGACAAAAACTCTAGGTTATAAAGAATCTGACCTTCATATGGAAATTAAAAGATAGGTCTTTTGTTTATAAAAGTGTGATGAAATCCTGATAGCCACACTGTATTCCTGCTACTCTGGAAATATTTAAGTTTTGGTTATTTGTATTAAATGTGACATTTTCAGTAACTGCTGATCTTCATTGTGTATTTGAAACCCAGCAGTTCTCCCTGAAAAGCAGCATCTCTCAAGTCAAGTTTCAGATGACCTCTTTGTTATTTAACTATAATTTTTTAAACCAGTTCATTTTATTGACATTCTAAATGTTTCTAGATTTCTTTGGAGAAAAAATTAGAAGTCAGTCCAAGCTAGAAAAAGCTTTATAATGGTGTTATTGTTGGAATGTAGCAAAGTATCGTAGGATTACAAGTTCATTAACTGACGAAAGTTCACACCAAGTATTTGATGAATCTTTATAAAGAGCTCATTAGCAAGTACTTAAAATACAATTTATTACTTGCCTGCATTGAATTAAAAAAAAGAGCCTGCTTTTATTACTCCTTTTTCTGTGCTAACCACTGATATTTTTTGGAACTGCAATATGGAGAATATTTGTGTTCTAAGCTTTGTGATCAGTGGATTTACACTGATCTAAATCTTCCATCTTTGTCACTTCTGATGCTGCATAAATACAGGGCATTGTTTGGTTTCTTCCATGAAATCTTGTCTAGATTAAGATACCTGTACAAGAAGCTGAGTTATATTAAAGCTTGGAGAAGTATGTGGAGTTAGAGCCTTCATTACCTAAACTGAAAACAAGCAAACAAAATCTTTAATGTATGTGAAGTGTAGAATGTAACTAACAGTGAGACTTAGCAAATGTTTCTGCCTTTTTTTTTTCTTCTAGGTGTCATTGTGGGGCAATAAGTGTGACCTTTCTTTTTCAGCTGGGAAAGAGAGCTCTCAGAAATCTAGTCCCTTACAATCCCTGGAAAACATGGTACCTTACATCTTAGTGAATGATATGGAAAAACTTTGGTCAGTACTTGTAAATGCAAAAAAAAATAGAACAGAAGGAAGTAATGTTAGAGTTGATATAATCCTGGATAATGCTGGATTTGAACTTGTAAGTGATCTCGTGTTGGCTGATTTCTTGTTATCATCAAAGCTAGCTGATGAAGTCCATTTTCATGGAAAAAGTTTTCCATGGTACGTGTCAGATACCACAAAGCATGATTTTAACTGGACTGTTAAACAACTGCAGTCAGCTAATCATATGTGGATGTCCAGATGTGGGATAAACTGGGAGGGCAATTTGAAAAAGGGAGTTTGGGTTTACCATGATCACATGTTTTGGACTTTGCCACATGACTTTTCCAGTATGGGTGGAATTGCTCCTGATTTGTATGCTGACCTGCAGAAGTCAAACTTGCTTCTTTTCAAAGGTGATCTAAACTATAGAAAGTTAACAGGGGATAGAAAATGGGAATATACTGTTCCATTTCACCAAGCCTTGAACAAGTTTCATCCTGCACCTCTCTGTAGTTTGAGAACACTGAAATCTGACACTCAGGTTGGCCTAAAACCTGGACAGGGTGAACAAATTCAGGCTTCTGAACCTGAGTGGATGGTAAGTGGAAAATATGGGGTAGTTCAGTTTGATCCTGCTCTCTAATTAGATGATTCCTAATATTCTGAAAGAGAGGTTTAACCTCAGTATAACTACTTTCTTTGTTCCATGCTTAGCTTCCACAAAAATTCTTTTTTGTTTGCACTTTTTCCTCCCAAGAGATTTGTTGGTTTTGTTCCACAAAAGACTTTAATGTTGTGCAGAAATTTACAAATTGTCTTTGTATATGTAAATGAATCTGCATTTCAATATGTTTTGTTTTCCTAATGTCCAGTGTCAGCAGATCTTTAAGATTAATATTTAGTTGCCCATAATATTTTTTCTTTGTCAGCGAGTGTGAGTTCATAGCTAACAAGTGAAAAATCTGCTTCAGAAACAGTTTCCTCCGTCCCACATTAAGTGTGTATTTTCTTATTTCAGGATCATTTGTGCTTCACATGCCATGCATTGCATGAAAGTTCATATTTTAGAGAATTCAAAAATTCCAGACAGATTCTTTTGATATCTTGGGTATAGTTTGCTGTACATTAAGCAGTAAGTTATTGGGTGATAGCTTGTACACATTCATGTAGAATTGAAAACTAAATTTAAATTTCAAAGTACAAGTGAATGTTGCTAGCCAGGTTGCCTGTAGGAGGGGAGTTGTCTCATCTGGTAGGAAGATTAGTGGGAGAAAGGACAATCTCATTTTAAGAATATTGAATATATGATTTATCTAAGAACCTCTGCCAAAAAGTAGCACACAAAAAAAACCCTCCCCAAACAAACAAATAAATCGATGAACCCAAGCAATTACATTAATTGGATTTTGGATTTAATGCAGACTTGAATTACAGGTGACCTGTCAGCAGTGTATGTGGTTCAAGCACCGCTGCCTCTTTCTCTCGTGGTAATGCTCTTTGTTAAATGTAGTTGTTTGGGGGTTTTGGTTTTTTTTAAAGAAGGATGCCTTAATTTTCAGGGAAATACAACCCCAGTTGCACTGAGAAGTATAGGCCAGAGAAGCATATGTCATACAAGTTCCTCTTAATTGGAGTTGTTAGGTGCCCATTTCTTCTCCTCTACCCTGGTCTCAAAAGCTGCTGCTTATTATGTTCAGACAATAAAGATCTATACAGTGGATAAATATGCTCCAAATACTGATGACTTTGATTATTTGTGTTCTTCTTAAATACGAAAGAATATTTAAAAGTTTCAAGGTCAAGTGTTCAAAAACAACGATGCAAGGAATTTCATGAGGCAATGTCATATTGTAGGTAGGGTTCTACTTCTGAGACCTGGGTTAGTGCTCTCATCTCCTTTGTATCTCTGGCTTAGTACTCCTAAAGGGTGAATTCATGCTCATCCTTAGGCACCTGATTATACTGCAGGAATTAGAAATCCAGTCAGGAGAACTGAATGTGTGACTGGTGAAGCTTTCTTTGACTGGAGGGAGCTCAGCGGGACTCCAGCTTTGATGCTTTCATAGAATACATAAACGATATGATGAATTTGTGCACTGGAGCCTCAGAGAAAATGCTATTAACTTGTTTCGAATACACTTTGAAGCAACAACTTTGGGTCAAGAATGGAGGGATGGAAGTTGTGGAATATAGGCAATGGAAACTTCCCACCTCATTCAGAGAGATGAAATGAATAGGGGAAGAAATCTGTTGTGACTGTGGACAGATTGTAAGGTGCTGACTCAGTTTGCAGGAGAGGCTTAAAAGTGTGTCATGGACAAGAGGAGAAAGGATTGTTTCACTGTTGAGGCCACCCTTGATGAATAGATCTGCCTCTTACGCAATCCTTACACAAGCTGAGAAACTTGGTTTTGTTTTTCACTGGTTGTTAATGTGCCTCTGTGCCCATATTGCATTCAACCTGTTACTTTTGGGAACTCACAATGAAGATCAGTGAAAATTAATATTATGAAGTTATGATAAAAAGAATACTACTAAATAGGAGATGCAGCAGCATTTGCTTAGTATTACTGAATTACATCAGAGATTGTTGCGCTAATGTTTGTGAGCAAGAGTACAGTGAGACGTGTAATTCTTGGATTGGCATATGAATAGTGGTGTAAGACATGATGTCATGCTTAAAGAAAATTAAATGAGCACTTTTCATCTTTTGCCCTTCACAAAGACATAAGGTAATAAATACACAGTGTGACTACATGGCTATGTGAGGAATGCACAGCCATAACTTCCAAGTAGTTGACTTCTGTAGCTGTAACTGCCAAGTGCTATCTCTAGGCGGAACTGAATACGCAGCATACTTTTCTGTTTGTTGGTTGGCTGGATTTTTGTAAAACTTTGATTGATTCTATGGAAAAAAAAATCCCAAACATAAATAGTGCTGTAATGCCAATGTTCCATTCTCCCATGGCACAAAAATAAGGAGTGAAGACAGATACTCCGATGAGGCACTGTGCTCTGCTGTGGGTTTGGTACAGTTCAGGTGAAAATTGGAAGTGCTTTTGCAGCTACTCAATGTTAATTGCTTGTGTAATATAGCTTCATGAAATGACAGCTTGAGCCCACTGCATTTAGGAATTAACTATTAAACCAACATAAAGCATGTGTTAGAACAATAGCATGTGCTGTAATATAGCTTTTTTTCTTGAGCATTCAAGAATGTTGCTTCTATATATCTGTATTACAACTGATGGCCCAAAATGCTTGTACAGTATAACTCAGGAGCTACTGATTTGTACACCCAAATTTTTGAGATTTCCATTTCATATGCTATTTGGAGATTTATGGCAAAACCAAGGGCATTTTCAGTAATTCCAAGGACCACAGCGAACAAATGTTTTTTACTTCTATTTTTGTCTTATACTTTTTGAGCAACTGTATTTATAAGTCAGTTTTTGATGGCAGTGATTTTCCTTGGTGCAAAAGTAATGTCACAGGCATAGTGAAAGCCAGGACTCACATCTGTCTGAACACTTGGCAATTCATTCTATATGATAGCTACAATAGTTTCTTACTTATATAAGGTGTCTTGAGAGTTGATTGTGTGCCTGGAAACTTGAATGAACATTGAAAGGAATAATATAATTTTGTGCAAAAGTCAAACATTGTTATACTATTTCAGTGGCTGGGGAAGCCAACTTCAAATAATTCAGGTCTGAGTTCCTGAAGTCTTTTTTCTCTGAAACAGATTTTATACAAAAGCCTGTAAAGCATATTTGTCCAATGAGGTTTTGAAAGACTCAGATGCAAGAGATAGATATCATGAAATGTTCTTCTATATCAAGACAGAGCAATAATAGGGAATCTGCTACCTTGTTACTCCCCTAATATTTCTGTTCAAATTTCAAAACCTTAAAAATCATTGAGACTCTCTTAAAGTGTATCTAGTAATTCCTTGCTGAGGTTGGTGCAGCTGATGGTGTCGTTATCAAGATCAGTTTTGGAACTGAGAGGCGCCATGTGTTCTCAGCAAAAATGGAAATATTTTAGTGTTACACTAGCTGTAGCTAAAATATTTCCAAAACACTTTGGCACACTTTGCTGATGTCCCATAAACCCTAACTGCTGTTGTTGAAATGGTTTCTTTAAAGTTCATACTGTATTTGCATTCACTGTTGATACGACTTAACAACTTGTGCCATGTGAGGGACATTTATCTCCTGTGCTCTGTCAGACAGCATAGGAAAAATTTTCACTCTGTTGGATGAAAATTACCACATGAAATGGTTTTAATCCAAAAGAAAAACCCTAATCATGTTTAAAATAAAAATTCCAAAATGGAAATTTGTACAGAACCATTGGGTTTTTTCACTAGACAGTTTGTTTTGCTTACAATCCTTCTGTTTACCCTAAATTACAAAACAAAAGTTTGTGATTATTTTCATTTAAAGCAAAAATGTAAGTTCAAAATCACCTAACTTATCTAAGGATTTTGAAATAAAACTCTGAAAATGTGCTGGTTAAAATGGTCCTTTTCTTTCTATCCAGTATGCCAGTAGCAGAACATAGATGAGAAAAAAAAATTCCTATAGCAGAACGTATGTGAGGAAAAAAAATAATCCTGTGTCATGCACTTGTTTTTCATGTTTTCTTGTTTGGTTGTGGTTTTTTTCCTAAAAAAGGTTTTGAAAACTTCTGTGCATTTTTATTCTAGCTGATACTGATATACTTCTATTTCTAACAATAAAATAGAAATAAATGGAAATAGAAAGGCCACTTAAATACATTTTTCTATGAACTAATGATTAATTTACAGATCAGTTAATCTACATTCTGCCTCAGGTTTGCAATATTGGGAGAAGGGCTTCTATTTACAGTGCTTTTTGAGGTTTGGCTTTGTTTCCACTGGGAATGAAACATAAAGTGTCATTTTGCAATCATGTACAATGAATAAACATATTTGGTACTTGTGTGCTGCTTTTGTTGTATCACTTTTCAGTAAGCTAAACACTTGTAGTCTTTCAGACTCCCCATGAAGAAAAAATTTTATGTTTGTAGAAATTTAGCTTTGTTGGGATTCCACTTATTTCTTCCAAGTCTCTAATGAAGTAAAAGATTAAAAGCTGAGGTAAGATAAATCAAGGTAGATATTATGGGTGGTTTTTCTTTGCTTTCTTAATGTTACCTGATTGTGTAGCCTCACACTATCATGATAAGGTTGATGCTTCCTAGTGACTCTTAATGAAGGCCTGATGATATATTTAGTTGCATCTTTCAAAGTGTAGTTCACACTGAGTTTTTCCTGCCATTGTGGTATTTTGCTCAAGGATTAATTTTAAAGGAGGAGTTGATTGTTACCAAATGTAGAGACAGTGCCTGACAGCTGGGCAAATGGATGGTGGAGTAGAGGCAGAATGCAGCCAGGCCTCCTGTTCCGTGGGTAGAAACACTGTTCAGTGCAGCACTGTGTAACCTGGCACGAGGCACAGGAGCCTCTCCAGACTCACCCCTGCAGATCAGACACCTGCAGAGAGAGGATTTCTCCCCTCTTACCTGCTAACATACAGAGTACTGTGCCGGAGGTAATGACACTTTCCTTGATGGAGTTCAGCAAGGCTCACTATTTCATATGCTTGTGTTTATTAACGCAGCAGAGATGGACCTGCAAACTGGTAAATTCCTGCTTTCCCTCAGTGGTGTTGAGTATAGAAAGGCTGTTCAGAAAATTGAAACAGCTTTTAACAGCTATTTGTGGCCTGGAATAGGTTTCAGCTCTGATCCTCCACTTCCCAAGAAGATGTCTTAACTGTCATAGCCCAGGAAATGCACTGGGT